TCCAGGGCCGGTCAGGTGTTTGTTCTGATCTGCAAAATGACATGGGGCCCACCATGGCTGCCGTCTAGTTTGGGGCTCCGCCTGGCTCTTTTCTTCTTTGAAAATGCTTCCGAGATCCGGTTGCAGTTCTGCCCGGGGTCTCTTCTTTGAGCTTCTTTTTGTTGGACTGCAGACTTCATTTGGACCTTTCCCCTTTCAAGTCACACTAGAGCCTTTGAGAGGCTTCCTGTGGAAATTAAGCATTGCCATTTCCGACTTCCGTGTGCCGCATTTGAATACTGTTGTGGTCACTCTTCTTGAGCGGTTCGGCTAATCGCTTAGGGTTAAATAGAGACTTATTTCCCCTCTGGTTGGCTCCAGAAGTAAGGCTCGGTCTTGACCACATCTGGAAATTTCATCTTTGTGATAACTAGATACACACTTACCCAGTTCATTTTTGAGGTATTTTAAAGCCACTAAAACATTTTATCCTCTCCCCTCCCCCCCTTTTTTTGACATCTCACGTGTTACATAAAGCCATGGCCTTTTAACGATGGTTAATTGCAACCGTAGGGGCTGCGGTGGCTCAAGTGGTTAAGACGCTGAACTGCAGACCAGAAGGTCGGTAGTTCAGCAGTCCGAGACCCGAGTGTGCCGCATGATGGAGTGAGCTCCTGTCTCCGGCCCCAGCTCCTGCCAACCTAGCAGTTCGAAAGCAAGAAATTGCAAGTAGACAAATAGGTACCACTTCGGTGGGAAGGTCACAGCGTTCCGTGCGCCTTGGTGTTTAGTCATGCCGGCCACATGACCATGGAAACGTCTTAGGACAGCGCTGGCTCTTCGACTTCGAAACAGGGATGAGCACCGCTTCCCTAGAGTCGGATTCGACTGGCTTTCGAGCAAGGGAAACCTTTACTTTTACCTAATTGTTGAAACCAGCAGTGAGCTGACGTGAAGTCATTCAAATGCTGGCTAGGCTGCCTAGTAGCTTGGGAGAGCTGCAGAAGAGGTGAGGGAGCCAGATCAGAGGTGACAAGAGGCCTGTGGTGAGCAAGTTTCCGACCCTTACCCTGAGATGCAACTCTCCTCTGCCACCAGAAGAGGGCACGGTAGACTCGCTATGGGAGGAGTGTAGCCGCGGCACTCGGCCTCCTCAGTCATAAGCGAGAGAATCCACTCCTTAAAGGACCCTTGCAAGGTTTCCCTCTTGCCTTCCGCCCAGGAGTCAGCAAGTAAAAAGGACTAGAGCTCACATTAGTCCTAACACCATTTTAAAAATATACAGTTGGTTCCTGAAAAGTTTCCTAATCTCCCGTGGAAGGGGGCCTGCCCCCCTTTTTTTTTTGGCCGGACACTGCGTGGCACCAGGGGATGGATGATGGGGGACAGTCAGTCCCAGTCCCTCCATGAAAATGAGCAACTGGGGAACGACTTTGGGAGCATACAGAGATGGCTGTTGAGGCGATGAGGTGCCAGCCCGTGGGAGCCCGTAGCAGGCGGAGAGCTCCGTGTCTCCTGCAGTCAGGGGCCGGATTTTCCCTGAACGAAGCTGGCCTTAACGGTGCTGATCCTTGAAGTAACAGCCGTAGCCCGGCCCGTAGCTACAGGGGGGCATTTGGGGGCAGCCCCCCCACTTCAAAGGCCCCACAGCTTTGCCACTGCCTCTGCTTGCCTTCCCCCAGGGCTGCAGGAGAGGTGTCTGCGGCACCAGCCAGGCTGGCTGGGGGCTCTCCAAGCGCAGTGGCACACTCACTGCCCTTCCTCATCCAACCTCTTGGAAAGGGCTAGTGGCGGGTGGCTGGCTCGGGGTTCTCCGAGCGGGCTGGGGGCTTTCCTAGCTGGCAAGCAGGACGGTGCGCTCCTCCACCACCTTCTATTCTTGCCTGCCTGCTCACAGAGTTAGTGAGTTGGCCGGGGGGAGGGGTCCCGGCTGGGGAAAGCCCCCCCTTTTAAAATTAAATTAGATTCTCATCAATTTCTACGAACAAGGAACTTTCAAAAAAAAACACCACCCCATCTATTCTGGTAGCAGGAAGTAATGCCACAGAAACAAAGGCAGGGGGCTGTTTGTGGCCTATCCACTCCACTTCCTGATGCCGGGATGAGTGAGGAGGAGGAGGAGGAGCGGCAGGGCTGTCCCCATGTGGGATCCAGCCAGGGAGGGAGGCTGTCCCCCCCCCTCCACTCTGCTTCACAAGGAAGCCACATTCAACCCTGGGATCGCCTCAACTGACCCCGCTTCCCGCCCCATCTGGCCGGTCGGAGCCCCGTGAGAATGAAAGACTGGGCTTGCTTAGGTTAATGAAGCCGCCTGTGGCTTCGTGCCCCGCCCCCCCCAAGGCAGGATCGGGCCCCTATGTGCTTGGAAACGCACTGCTGGCGGCTGGATGCGACAGGGAGAGGGGACTGGGTCTCTCCCCCAAGAGCGAAGGGCTTGATCCGCCGCAGCTCTTTTCTGTCGCGGTCTCCACCGACCTTGGGGTGATCGCTCCCGGCCTAACGCACGTACTCTCCTCGGCTTGGTGTGTGACTGAGAAGCTCATACGCCAGCCCTGAACTCCTCTGAAAATGAAACAACACCTGCATTTGCACACAGACGTCTGTTTTTCAGGCGGCATTGAATGGGATGGGATTCAGTCCGGGGCTTTGGGGAGTCTGGGGTTGGAAGGGCTGAGGGGGGAGGAGGGGGGGAGTCCCTTGCCTGTCATACCGGAGCAGGGAGGCTGGGCAGCAGGGACGAGGGGGGCAGACGTACCGCCCTGCAAAGCGCTACAAGCACACAAAGGGTTTACTAGCAGCACAACATTTCCTCCCCAGAGCCCCGCCCCAACAGCGCTCTGTCCCGGTGCAAAAGGGCATTGGTGCTAGGAGCAGCTTCCACCTGTTTGCAAGAGAGGGGTGGTTTTGGGGGGCAAGGCTGCCTTTGCGCGCCACCTGGTGCCAGGCAAGAATCACAGCCCTTTGGGGTGGGGGTGCATTCCACGCTCCGCCGGGACTCGTGGACAGCTCCCTTCCGCTTTCTTGCCTGCCGTTGTCCCAGAGAGGGAGCTCCATGGCTTGGCTGAGGTGCCCCCCAAGAAATTGAAGTGCCCCCCCCCCACTAAATAAACCCTGGCTAGGGGCCTGGCCATAGCGTGCATGCCTCTTCCCCTCTGCGTGTGGCCTCATCAAAGCAAGCTTGCCTCCCCCCCCCCCATTAGCTGTACTTTACAAAGCAGATGTTCTTTGCTTGTGCATAGAAGGTTCTCAGGGGTGTGAGCCAGTTTTGCCCGTAAGGTCTCAGTCCAGCTGTGGGAAGGGGTCAGAGTTCAGGGCTGTTTGCCTCAGGTTGCCGGGGCTTGCGGGCTCTCGGCAAACTGGAATGCGGTCTATTCCGAGGCATGCGGTGTGTCTGCTCACCTCCAGGCCGGGCCTGTCCCCCCCCCCTTCCCCATTGAATTTTCAGGCGGGGAAGCCCTCTTGCGATTTAATTGCAAGTCTCGGAGGGCTTTGTCTGGAAGGGAATTGATATGCGATGTGTCTTCTGCAGACAAGACTCAGCCAGCCAGCCTGCTTTCCTTCCCGCCAGCAGTGTGTGTGGGGGGGAGGCATAAATTATGGGTACACGGGCCCCAGAAACCCATCCGACACAGGACAGTAGGAATCAGGTAGAGATTTTAGGTTCGCTCCCACTGTTTCTCTTCTTCAGTTCCCCATCTGTAAAATGGGGAGATAGTAGGAAATGGAACTCTGGGATGTGTATTGAAAGCTGAAAGACTTTGGAAGAGCCCGTTGGAGCCAGCTTGACTGTATGGGGCAACCAAGCAGCTGTTTTGGGTGGCATGGTTCCAGGGGTCTCCATGAAACTGGGATTGGCACACAAGCCTGGGGTTTCTTATGTGTTTGACACCCAGCGCAAAAACTGTGGGGTGCCTTCAAAATTTGTTGTGGCATCAATGGGGATGGGGTGGAGGGGCGGGTCTGTGGAATCGTTTCAGGTCCTGTACCCAGGAGTCTCCTGCCAACCTAGCAGTTCAAAAGCAAGAAATTGCAAGTAGATAAATAGGGACCACTTCAGTGGGAAGGTAACAGTGTTCCGTGCACCTTGGTGTTTAGTCATGCCGGCCACATGACCACGGAAACGTCTTCGGACAGCGCTGGCTCTTCGGCTTGGAAACGGAGATGAGCACCGCAACCCTAGAGTCGGATTCGACTGGCTTTCGAGCAAGGGAACCTTTACCTTTTTACCCGGGAGTCTGTGGCAAACGGATGAGCGTGGATGAAATCTGAGACTATGATACTGGAGGGGGGACTGCGCTACAGCTGCAGTGGTGAATCTTTTGAAACACACGTCCAGACTGATTCCAGGGTTATTAGGAAAATCGGTGACCCACAAGGGGGCGTGGCATCCTCTCCCCAGTGCCTCATGCCCTCTTCCACGGGAAAAATTGCATGGAACTGAGTCGGCACAGGCATTTTCCCAAAGCCAGGCTTTCTGTTTGGGTCTTTACACTGACTGTTCCATGGTGTGATTACAGAGACGGGGGATGGTCACCGGCCCTTAAAAATTCGACGTTGCGACATGAGGATTTGGGATCCCAGTCTTACCCGGTTTGCTCAGCCAAGTGAAAATCTCCAGCTTTGCCATTCCGCTTGCCTCTAACGGTGTGCTTTTCTGTCCCTTTCGCCCCGCCCCCCCCAGTGTTTAGCTTGCAAGACCTCTGCTGCCGCGCCATCGTCTCCTGCACGCCCGTCCACCTGATCGACAAGCTGCCCCTTCCCGTCACCATCAAGAGCCACCTGAAGTCCTTCTCCATGGCCAACGGCATGAACGCCGTCATGATGCACGGCCGCTCGTACTCCCTGGCCAGCAGCGGAGGCGGGAGCAGCAGCAAAGGCAACAGCCTCAAGCGCTCCAAGTCGATCCGTCCGCCCCAGAGCCCGCCGCAGAACTGCTCGCGTAACAACTGCAAGATCTCCTAGCGAGCCGCGGGGCTCGGCTCCCTCCGAACACGCGCCGAGACCTGCTCGCCAACGTTACGGATGTTTACACCCGGGGCCTCATTGCGGCGGGGGCTTCCCCCCCCCCCCCCCGTGGCTCTGGCTGGCGGTGGCACCCCCGGGACTGGCAAAGAGCTTATGCCCTGGCCTTCAGCTGGAGGGGTCCCACACGGCGGCAAAGGCAAGGCGGTGCCAAGCCACCCTTTCCCAGAATGCAGTAGGTCTCGCCCTCCCCCTGCTTGGGGGAATGACTGTGCTGGAGTGTGTGTGTGTGGGGGGGAGCGATCCTTCCTCGGGCTTGGAGTAAGGTGAGACTTTGTGCTGCGACTTTAACCTTTGGGCCCCCGAGTTGGATTGCTGGTACTGGAGCAGACATCGAAGCGAACCCAAGTAGCCACAGTCTGGAAATTCAACCCGACAGAGGTCCTGTCTTCACCCCACGGACTGTGGCCGGCTGGAAGTCCACAGGATGCAGGCCGCTTGACATCCTCACCTATTTATAGAATAATTATATCTCTCACTACTGTTTCTAAAGGGGTTTTTCTTTTCCCTTTCCATTTGTTTTCTTCTTTCAAGAGGAGGCCATGGGGGGGGATTTTTTTATGCAGCCTTGTAAATAGAAGCGCTGAACTTTGAATCCTGGGGGGCTCACTGAAGGAAGCGGGGAGGCTGGCAGAGGCCAGGGGCAGAATGATCAGGCGTTCTAAGAACGGCGTAAGAGGCACAGGGTTGCTCTTGAGATCATTGTTTAAAACATTTATTATTCCATATGTGAAAAGAAGGGCGGGATTTGCTCCTGTCGTTCCCCCAGCATAGATTTCCCAGACATCCGTTGTCACGGGCAGGAGGCATGAATGGATAGCGAGGAGAGTGGGGTTTTGAATTATGTCATCCAGCCGTGGCCACATCTGGGACTCGTTAATGGCTGATAAAGGGATTGCTCTGGAGGTGACCTTGGCTCCCAGAGCCTCTAGAGGAAAGGTTCGCCTGGCCCAGATATCTAAAACGTGAGGGTCACGGCTTGGGGCACGGGGTGGGTGGGGTAATGCCTGTGCCACCAAAGGCCGCTTTTTTAATGTCTTGCTAGAAGTACTGAGACAGAGGGGAGATCTAGGGCTCCGGGACAAAACCACTCGTGCCGCGTGTCCCCTGGTTGAGTGGGATTAACCCCGTGCGCTTCTTCGCTGTCGCTTGGTAGCCGGCAGATTGCTTCGCGGCCCTCTGGATCTAACCGCATGGCTCAGCTGTCCTGTTTCTATTACTTCCCTAGGCTGCAGGGGAGAGAGGAGCTCGAAGGAGCCCCCAATAGAAATCCAGGGTTTTCTGGTTCCAAAGTAACCTTTTTCACGCTCTTCAGGCGTCTCGCATAATCATCCAGGGCTGCTGAAGTGCTGTTCCAGAGTGTTGTGAGGCTCTTGTCCTTTGCATGCGAGAGAGAGAAAGCGAGCAAGGTCCTTGCCCTGGGAGGACAGTACTAGGCGATGGGATGGTTTGGGATGTCAGACCAGAACCCAGGTGGCCTCTTTACTTTTGCAAACCAGGAGCTTTTCTGGAGGTTGAGTAGAAAGTCTCCACCCTTGAATACTCGGGCCTGGTGGGGGCTGCTGTGTGCCCTTGTCCCCATGGATAGTGGAGGCTCTTGGACTTGCCGGTGCTTTGGAGAGGAGCGCGACCTCTAGCGGTCCCTTCTGCAAAGCCTGGTGGGAAAGTGTCCTCCAGCATCTGTGAAGGTAGTGAGGGAAGCTAGCTAAGTGGGGTAGGGGGCTTTAGACACTTGACTGGTCAGCCTGTAGCCCATGAAAGGCATGGTTGTTGAGTTGCCTCTTTCCCTCGTTTTGGGCTGGGGAGAACATCTCTCCCCGGTTGCTTTCTCTCCCCTGGGCCAGGATCGGCCGCCTGCCGCGCCGCAGAGGGGAACGGGTGGCGCGATGCCGCCGGATGCCCCTCTGGCAGCTGACCGCCTCCCGTTCCGCTTGAGCACTTTGATGGGAGTCCGGCCGGCACGACTCGTGGCGCGTGGACCCCTCCGAGACCACTTGGCGTGAAAGGCGAGCCGCTGAGCCTCACCGCTGGCGTGAGCTCAAACGGTCTGGCAGGGAGATAGGTCAAGGGCAGGGGAAAGCCTTTGGCGGCATCTCCGCCCGGCTGCGAACAAAGCCAGAGCCAAATCCAGGGCGAGTGGCGTGGAAGCCGGGAGATTTACGGGGCATGTCCGCACGGGGCACCTGTCGCCGTTTGCTCAAAATGGAGCCGGAGACGATGGCTGACTCAGTGGCCTGGCATCCTGGGGATGCGCCTCCCGACAGGTGACCGCCAAGCGTCCTGTCTTTCCACCCCGGGTTTTAAAATAGCCCCGTCCCAAAACAGCTATAAGCATGTGCATTGTTTTCTCTGAAGAATTGCAGGGAGCCCCCAGCCCCACTTGGCTGGCTGTAAATCCTCCCCTATTGTCCCTGCCCCATGTGAATATAGCTCTGTACATACTTGGCTGGGAGGAGGGGGCTGTGGGCAGGTTGGGCGATGCTGCGCATCTCCCGGCTGCCTCCCCCTGGCCTGCCTACGCGTGCTTCTCGGCCTCGCCTATAAAAACACCTCTGGATATCTTTTCCTTTTCTTTCCGAATCGTGGCAAATGCATCTGCTTGGAATGAGATCCTCTGGAATGGCGGCTAATCAAAGCTGAACCCTCTTAACCCCCCCCCCTTTATGTTATTTGTTTAATTTGCAACTCCGAGAATGTGATCCGATATCGAACACTAGAAATCTAGCTGCTCTCCAACACTCGTAACCATTCCTCTGTTTTTAAATCCTTTGTACAGTGAATGTCGTCGTTCAACTGAGATGGTTTTTATATAAATTAAAAAGAACACCTTGTTTTAAGAACCACTTTGACGGGCTGCGGCAGTTTTGTTGGCGAGGGACCCACAGGCTTTTCCGGAGAGCACTGCTGAAGGGCAGCGAGAGGGTAGAGGAGAAAGGGGTGGGGGCGGGAGTTTGGCAGGCCAGGCGTACGGGGATTAAGGGGGATGGTGGCGGTGGGATATTCCCAGGAGGGGCAATGGAAAAGCACTTCGCTAACTGCCTCCTTTGAAAGGAACAGGAGTTTGGCCCGGGATTGGAGGCAGGGGCGGGTCGAAGAGGAATGCTTTCTTCACACTCTCGGGACTGCTCGTTATAGGCTGTGCCCTGAAAGCCAAAGCTCTGTGCTGAGATGGCTTGAATTCTGCGCCCGAAATATGCCAGGCGCTCAAAAACTGGCTCCTTTGTGATGTCTCTCTCTCTCTCTCTTCGTGTTGTTTTTTAAGCCACTTACTAAGATGTGAACATGAAGAGCGCCGTAAAGCGTACCAAACGTTTGGCCTGATACTTTAAATAATGGATATCTGGCAGTAGGTATGGTTTTGCTTGTTTCCCCTTTGGGGAAAGTGTCTTGTCTCTTTTAAATGAGCAAAGAACCCCAGACCCAACAAGCCTTTCTGGGCAGGAGATCCCCTGGCTCTTCGAAGCTGTGGTTTCTTTTCTTTTTTTAATGACGGTTGTACTTTTATATAGGTGAGAAGGGGTTGTGAGAGAAGTACATCAGTGGCTCTTAGCCACAAGGTATAGATAGGAACTCTCAGGCTGGGGCAAGGGATGCTCTGTCTTCTTGGTGCTTGGGGGGGGGCAACAGTGGGAGGGCTTCTAGTGTCCTGGCCCCACTGCTGGACCTCCTGATGGCCCCTGGTATTCTTGGCCCCTGTGTGATCCAGAGTGTTGGACTGGATGGGCCACTGGCCTGATCCAACACTGGCTTCTCTTGTGTTCTTATTAGAGGGAATTGGATGAACATACGGAGCAGAGGTCCATCAGTGGCTCTTAGCCACAAGGTATAGATAGGGACTCTCGGTCTGGAGCAAGGGATGCTCTGTATTCTTGGTGCTGGGTGGGGGGCCACAGTGGGAGGGCTTCTGGAGTTCTGGCCCCACTGGTGGACCTCCTGATGGCCCCTGGTATTCTTGGCCACTGTGTGACCCAGAGTGTTGGACTGGATGGGCCACTGGCCAGATCCAACACTGGCCTCTCTCTTATGTTCTTATGAGAAAGAGCAGACCAAGGCACTTACACACCACTGCAAACATCACTGGAGATGAATTTGAAAGCCCTCCCAAATGTTTCTGTGTGTACAGTTTGTTCTGGCCGAGACCTACTTCTGGGGTTTGCAAAATGTGTTGTCGTCATATGGAGGAACCCAAGTGTGTATAATTGCTAGGGTGTCTTGAGGTAGGAATCGGAACTCTCTGGGTCGAATGTGACCTCCCGTCATTAAAGATGACGTTGGTTGGAAAGAAGGGTGGGCCGGCTAGCACGCTGGTGCGGTGCCCTCTTTGGTATGCTAAAGCCGTGCCAGAAGTCGGAGAGAGCTTTGGGGAGATAGCTACGATTTTACCTGCCAGTGTTGCACATGAATTGGGCTTCGATGAGGCGCCTCAGGGCAAGCTTGATCGGTCACCTTTGGCGCGTCCCCCGCCCCCATCCCAACCTGGGGACCGTAATGGCTAACTTGGCTTACTAGGTTGCTATACTGCCATCTCCTTTGTGTAAATGCCCCTTTTTGAGATAGGAAGGGATGGTCAAGAGCAGAGGGACGGCACAGATGGCGGTGGAATAACACCCCCCCCAGTGTCCCCCCTAAGCTGAGTTAGTGTGAGCTCGCTCACAGTTTTTTTAGCCTCCGGCTCACACATTTTTGTCTTAGCTCAGGAAGGAGGGCTCCGGAGCAAACTCATTTATGCAGCAGCCAAATCGCTGGCTCACAGCTTTAATGCCAGTCGCTCACAAAGTAGGATTTTTGCTCACAAGACTCCAAAGCTTAGAGGGAACATTGCCCCCCCCCATGTGGTTTTCCAGCGAGGCAAAACAAACGCGCGCCCGAATGCCCCCCGTGGCTCTCTGCCGTCTCACCCCGAGAACCCTAATCGGAGGAGTTCTGTGATTTCAGGTGGGATTGAGAAACAAACAGCGGGAAGCAGTGACGTTCTCTCGGGGCGGCATGTTCCCTTTCCATGCAGATGTCCTCCTCGTATGGAAAGAGGAGTGACGATGGGGGCCGTGGGGAGAGGGGGGGGAGATGGAGCCATCAGATCCCCGTGACCTATTCCTGAACTCCTCCACTCCCCCCCCCCAGGACAACTACAGATTCCAACGTTTATGTCTTCTCCTAACTCCTCCGCTTGATCGATGGTTTCAGAAATGGACGGTGGTTCTGTGGCCCGCCTTGAGTATCCACTGGATACGAGGTGGAGCGGGACTTGCCTCCCCAGCTCTGCGCTGTGTGCAAACATTTGACAGTTGGCAGGGTCAAGATGCCCTGTGTTGGTACGTGTTAAGAAGGGCAAGACATTTTATGCTGGGGTGATATCGATGCCCTGACCCAGACGGCCCAAGCTAACCTTGATCTTGTCAGACGGAAGCAAATCAGGGTTGGCCCTGTCTAGTGATCGGATGAGAGACCGCCAAGGAAGTCCGCAATGGCCACACAGAGGCAGGCCGTGGCAAGCCTTTTCTCAA